CCTGGTCTACACAGTGAGTTCCAGGCCAGCTGGGGCTACAGGGAGACCCTGTCTCAAAAAGACCAAAAATAAATTTTATTAGTCCACTCTTCTTGTTTTTTATTTTATTATTGTGTGTGTGTGTGTGTGTGTGTGTGTGTGTGTGTGTGTGTGTGCGCGTGGAAGTCAGAGGACAACTTGCCATAAGGCTTCTCAGGCACACAGCTCTAAATTTAAAACAAAGCAACCAGGGGTTGAGGAGATGCTCAGTGGGTACAACACCTACTATACAAGCATGGGGATCCGAGTTTGATTCCCAGAACCCATGTGAAAAAGCCAGGTGTGGTGGCATGTGCTTGTGACCTCAGTGCTGGGGAGGCGAAGATGGGGATGGCTCACTGGCCAGTCGGATTCACATAACTGGTGGGAGTTTGGAAGACCAGAATGCCAAGAGAAAAAAAGCAACAGAGGCCTGGCTCATGAGGTTTCAATGGGTGCTCGAACTCTATCAGAAACTCGGCTAGAGCTAGGCTTTTCATGTTACATTCTGGCAAGGAATCTAGTGGCATCCTACCCTTCTCCTGGTAATCTGAGCAATGCTGAACTAAAAAGTAATGGACTAAGTTGTCTGGCAGAGGGAATTTCAAGACAGCATCATCCATGCCACAGTACGGTTACTGCTTGCTGTTCTCAGTCCCCTCTACAGTGACAGAATAGAAAGACCAAACTGCAGCTGGGTGAGGAAAGGAGCCTGGACAGGCTTCAAGACACAGAAACAGCAGGTGGAGAGAGTAACTGTCATTGTTGAAGAGATTAGTACCATTAAAGAGAAGCTTCAAAGTCTTCACTGTGCCCTGAGGGTACAACCCCAATCCACGCATGGAGGCCTGCAGCTTGTGAAAATGCAAATTTATTTGAAAAAGAGAGAACCTTAACTGACAATGCTTCTGAAAGGGTTCCCTGCTCAAAAACGACTACTTGGAAATGTTTCCCTGGTTCCACCAAGACATACAGAAGCCACCAGAGCTGTGGCAGACTGCATCTTGAAGTGACAAAAGAGCTTGACAATGTTGTTGCCCTTCATGGCATTGGGTCTTGAGCCATGAAAAATGCAGAGCTCTAGGGTAACAGAGATCTGCACCAAAGTTCCAGAAGGCCACGAAGGCCAGGCAATGTGTGACCAGGTCAGATTCCCTGCAAGGGAGCCCTGAAAAGCATGAAACCATGAAACTTGAACAGCCAATGCCTATATACATGAGCACACATTTAGGAGACATAAACACTTCTATCAGTTATTTCTTTTTTTGTTTTTGTTTTTTGGGGGGAGGGGTCTTTTTGAGACAGGGTCTCCCTGTAGCCCCAGCTGTCCTGGAACTCACTATGTAGACCAAGCTGGCCTTGAACTCAGAGATCCGCCTGCCTCTGCCTCCCGAGTGCTGGGATTAAAGGTGTGCGCCACCACGCCCAGCCAGTTATTTCTATATATTATGAGGGACATCCACCTACAAAATGTAATTCCATTCCTTCTCACTGTACAGCGATGACCTTGAGAGAAAAGTCTAGTCTGAAGGGAAAACTGGGTCCACTGTTTCCACTAAGAACTCTTCTAGTTTTAAGAATTTAGGAAGGTGCAGATGAGTGGGTAAAGGCACTTGCCATGAAACCCAATGACCCAAGTTCGAACCCTGGGACCCACATGGTGGAAGGAGAAGACCAACACCCAAAAGTTGTCCTATAACCTCTAGATGTGTACCATGGCGCGTGCACACACACACACACACACACACACACACACACAAAAGGTTAAAAAATTGAGGAACTATTAAAATACATCCTATGGTCACCAAAAAATGTGTAGAATTTGTTAAGTATAACTTTTCTTTAGAGTATTCTAGTTATGATTTCTGGCAATGTTAGTTTCACTAAAAGCTAACACAGACAGTGCTGATTTTCTATTTTCAAAAGCCCACTGCTGTACACTTACCTTAGTTGCAAAGTCCTGCAGTAAGTGCAACATATACTGGTCTATGACATACATATTCTTGACGGAAACAGAATCTGTCTCTGGGTTAAAACCAGTCACATTTCCCAAAAGAAAGCGGAGTGTGTTCCTAAGCTATTCATGATGAGAAAAAGTACATAGTTAAAGAAAATTTAAGAGATTTTTTTCAATTTTCAGTTATTTTATAATTCAGCAATTTCTGTTATTTTCTTAGTAAGACTTTTAAATCCTGTTACTCCTAAATAAGGCTGTAGACCACAAACTCTTCATTCTAAAGTTGCAATTAAAGAAACAACCACTGAGTTTTCTGCATTGAGGCTGACTTTTTATTAAATCTCTTCATAATCTCATGGAAAACCACCTTTCTATAGCCAGGTTTACTCATGTGTCCAGATATCATTTCCTGAGTCATAAGTAAAAACAAAGATAAATGAACTTAATGTGAAAAACAGCTGAGCACATGAAAAGTATATAAAATGTAATTTTACATCAGATGTTATATCCGATATTGTAGTGAAATATAAAGACATGCAAAATTCTTAGTGTTACTACTATTTGTAACGAATTAACACGGACTCTTAAAATACTCACACATAACTTGCCTTAACTTATGTCTCATTCTTTTTTGGGGGGCAGGGGGTTCTTTTTTGAGACAGGTTCTCCCTGCAGCTCCAGCTGGCCTGGAACTCGCTATGTAGACCAGGCTGGCCTTGAACTCAAGAGATCCACCTGCCTCTGCCTCCCAAGTGCTGCCATGCCTGGCAATGCCTCATTCTTCACAGTTGATGATTTAGTAAACATTTTTCTCAGAAGTATGAAGAATACCGGGTCTAACCTTGTTAATGTCATCTCTGGCAGCACCAAGTGCAGACGGGCCAACCGTCACTTCAGCGAATACATTGGATTCAGCCACCCACCATCGCAGGACATCAGCACCATATGGAGGCTCTTTGTTTTGATCCTTTTCATTGAGAAACAGCATGTAAACAGAATGGTTTTTCATTTCAGTTAGAGAAGCAAACGCTTTAGCTATAGCTCCCCTTCAGAAATGGTGGAGACCCTGTCAATGCAGTCTATACCAGCATAGTACTGAAACACGGGCAAACCACCTCAATCAGGCTGCATCTGAAAACCAAGAACGCACAAAGGGAAAGTACACTAGACAGCCTTGCTCAGGACAGATGGGAGAACCGGGGCTTGTACAGGACAGCTGAACCCGGGTGGTCAGATGCCCAGCACCTCCAGGATGACCTTGCAATGAAGAAGAGAGAGTTTATTTCCATCATCATCTCCTAGCAGCTGAGTGGTCACAGGGTATGAAGAGGGCTGTAAAAAGCTACAGGAGCAAAGGTAACACACCAGGGATTTCTCTCACGAAAGCAAGTCCAACCTGCCCCCCAAATTATCAGCAGCCCCAGAGGTGACATTCACTCTTAAAATGTATTATTTCTAAGACTATAAAAAAAGAAACGTGGCCAGGCATGGTGGCACACGCACTCAGGAGACAGAGGCAGGCGGAGCTCTGTGAGTTCCAGGCCAGCCTGGTCTGCAAAGCGAGTTCCAGGCCAGCTGGAGCTACAGGGAGACCCTGTCTCAAAAAGACCAAAAAAAAAAAAAAATGTGCATTTGGAAGTTACAATCTCATTGTTCCTACATAACTTTCAATTAACTATAAAACTATAGGTTTTGTATATTAAAACCTCAGATAACTTAAACAGTATGATTTAGGACCTAACTGGTGATTCAGACCTAAACTGTATCACATGGGCCTTAACTACAGTTCTTTACTTTTTCATTAAAACCCTATGGTTAAAGGCTGGAGAGATGGCTCAGGGTTAAGAGCACTGGCTGCTCTTGCAAAAGACCTGAGTTTGGTTCTCAGCACCCACATGGTGCCTAAAAATCATTCCTAACTCCAGCTGTAGGGAATCTCAGAGGCTCTTTTGGCCTTATCTGGCATTGCACGCACAGGTGCACTTATATAAATGCACATAAAATAGTCATATCCATAAAATAAAACTTTTTGGGGTCTTTTTGAGACAGGGTCTCCCAGTAGCCCCAACTGGTCTGGAACTTGCTATATTATATAGGCCAGTCTGGTCCTGAACTCAAAGAAATCTGCCTGCCTCTGCCTCCCAATAAATTTTTTTAATAAAAAATAAATCATGTGGTTAAGAGTTCAGGTTGAGGGCTGGGTAGACGGCTCACCCAGGAAGTGCCTGCCATGCAAGCAGAAGGACCCGAGTTCAGACTTCCAGCATTCATGTACAAATCTGGGTGTGGTGGTGCAGTGTGTGACCCCAGTGCCTAGGGATGGGGCTGGGGGGTAGGGGAGATACCTGATATGATGATGTGACAGACAGACGATAGGTAGATAGATGCTGGAGCCCAGCCAAATCAATGAGTTCTAATTTCAGTGAGAGACCCTGTCTCAAAAAAGGAAGTAGTGGGGCCAGTGAGATGGCTAGTGGGTAAAGGCCCTTGCTAGGCAAGCCTGAGGAGCTGAGCTCAATCCTTGGAACCTATGTAAAAAAACTAGACAAAGTGGCACGTATCTATAATCCCAGCATTCCTGCAGCAAGAGGGGAGGAAGAGAGAGAATCGCTTGGAAGCTCCTAGTCAGTTAATCTGGTGCACAGCACAGTAGGAACAGCAGTAGGCCATGGTGAAACATGGTGGAAGGCTATGGCCAACATCTGAAAGTTCTCCTCTGACCTGCGTTTGTGCACCACAGCCGTGCATAACTGCCCAGCCACCCTCCCTCCCCTGCCTCACAACAAATAAGCAAGCAAGCAAGCAGGGTGAAGTGACGGAGGAAAACACCTGACATTGACCTCTGGCCTCCACCCACACAAGCACACACATGCGGCACACACTCGTTTTAGACTTAGAACATTACAGTATAGCATCTGCAATTCTTTTAGCTTCTTCTCTAGGAGATGAGGTCTCCTTATACTGACCAGGCCAGCCCTGAATTCCTGGTTCAAGACACCCTCATGTCTTAGCCCCTCACACAGCTAGGAACACAGGATCACAGACCTGTGCCACCATCCCTGGCACCTTCTGTTAATAGCAAAGGTAATCTTACTCTTGCTTGTGTTTATTTACTCTGAGGTAACAAGTTTGGGTTGCCAATAAGAGACCTACAACAGAAATAAAATGAATTTTAGGCAAATACCTACTTGTCCTCCATTGATGACAACATCAGGATTAACCACATTCCCAAGGGACTTGGACATCTTTTCTCCTTTTTCTCCAAGGGTAAATCCATGAACAATCACTGTCCTAGGAAGACACACGAATCAGCTACTTTAATGGGAAGGACTATTATAATGATCAGATTTTTCTTGAAAGACTAAGGATGAAAGCATCTTAAAGTCAATTATCAGCACCTTGTCTAGGAGGATTGTTAGCGAGTTCTCTAGCACGGCAAAAGTAGGTGCTTTATTTATTGACTAGATTATTTCCTTATCCCTTATATACTGATTTTGATCACTGAAACTAACTAAAAATAAGTTTGTTTTAAAAAAAGGAGAGCAAGGCTATTGTGTGGTAGAGGCCTTTAATCCCAGCACTTAGGAGGCAGATGCGGTGGCAGATGGATCTCTGGGATTTCAAGTTCAGCCTGGTCTACATAAGATAAGCATATATTTGTATAAGCAGGAACCCCTAATTTAATAAAAACTCCCTGGCAGTGCTTCAGTTCCTCATCTGTGGTGAGTCACACACAGGACAGGAGCTGTCTTCTCACACACACTGTCCTTCCCTGCACGCCTGGGTTGGTCTGCACACAGTGGAGAAGCAGCTCTGCGAGGCTCACCCAGCCACTCCTCTACGCTATTTTTCTCTTTTAGGAGATTCAGTCTGCTCCAAAGTAACTAGATGCCTCCACACTGCTGTGTCTCGTTCCTTTTACTTTTCTTATTTTGTTGATTTTGCTTTTTGTTGCAGGATCTCTACACAGCCCAGGCTGCTCTTGACCTTAAAAATCCTCCCATCTAGAGTGCTCAGGGCCATGGGCATGTGCCAACATGACTGACCTTACATTCTTATTTCTCTAATCTGAAAGGAGACTGGTGCTTTCTTACAGACATGTGTATCATACATGTAAACCGCTGTCATTCAGCTTTTCAGCACCAAGCAAAACAGCCTCATCTTTTTGACAACACTGGTTCAGGAAGAAGAACAATGACCTCCACCTACTGGTGCCAGCCTGTGCATCTACATCCCACCACCGTGTGCCATGCACTGGCAGGTACCCAGAGGAGCAGCAAGGCAGGTTCACTTGTTTGCACAAGTTCAAGGGCTTACTTGAGCTAGCAAATAAAAGTCGAACACCAGGAACGGACTTCCCCTTTGCAGCTGTTGACCAGGAACCCTCACACAGCACTGGCTCTTGCCACTGTTCTTGGTTACTCACCAGAACTGCAGCTAAGAAGTGAAGGCCTGACTGCTGAAGACACTACACACGTGAGTCGAGCTGGTGCTGACCCCAAAGCTCCATCTCTACTGCTATCTTTCATAGTGCTGGAAGGTACTATGCATGCTACCAGAAGAGAAAAGTAATCAACATTTCCCAGCTGTAAACACCATGAGCTACAGTAACAACTGGCCTGGCAAGATACGCCTACTGGTCAAATAGTGGCACAGATGTTAGAGGAGCAATCAACCACTTTCTGATTGGATTTAAGGACCAATTCACAAGATGGAGCTCAGACCCTGCACTGTTATCAGGTCTAGGAACCTGTGGCTTGAACAGGTCATAGGCCATAGGGGAGAAGCTACTTACTACTATTAGTCTGCTAAACGGACATGGTATTAAACTGATTCCTAATGATTTACTGTTAATGCCAACTCTCAACTCTCATCAGAGAAGCTTCTTGAAGCAGATGGTGACTAACACAGAGACCCAAAACTGGTCATTGTGCAAAGAAAGAGACGGTGGAATTCTTTTTATAAAATATTTTATTTATTATTTTATGTGCAGGAATGTATTGCCTGCATGTTTGTAAGTGCACTTGTGTCATGCAATGCCCGCGGAGGTCTGAAGAGGGCACTGGATTCCCCTGGAACTGGAGTTATGGATGGTTGTTAGCTGCCATGTGGGTGCTGGGAATTGAACCTGGGTCCTCTGCAAGAGCAGTCAGTGCTCTTAACCGCTGAGCCATCTCTCCAGCCCAAGACTATGGAATTCTTATTCCTAAATGGGATACCTATATCACACCCTTTCCCCAAGGCTCAGGGATCACTACAGAAGAGGGAGAGGAAAGATTATGAGAGTCAGAGATGGTGGATGACTACAGGAAACAGTGTTCTCTGGACTCATATGAATTCACAGCAATTGTGACAGCATGCATAAGATCTGTGCAAGCTCCAGCCAGAGAAACCTCAGCATGAATGTGGGAGGTGAGCAGGAAGCCCCAACCTTAGCTGAGGAACTACTGGCATTTAATAGCTGCTGGGAGCGGGAGAGTCTGGTAGGGTGACCAAGTCCAGGAGATGGAATCACAGCAAAGAACATTTGGGGACACAAATTAGACTCAATCGCCCTTAGAAAATAATAACAGAGGATGTGAAATCGGGGGCAGGGGGGCATGGAGATGGGGTGGGGGATTGAATATGATCAAAATACACTGTATAAAATTCTTAAGAAGTAATCAGGGGCTGAAAAGATGGCTCAGTGGTTAGAGCACTTGCTGCTCTTCCAGAGGACAGGGGTTCAATTCCCAACACCCACATGGCAGCTAACAACCATCTGTAACTCCAGTTCCAGGGGATCCAACACCCTCTTCTGGCCTCTGTGGGCATTGCATGACATAGGTGTACTCACATACATGCAGGCAACACACTCATACACATAAAATATAAAATAATAAATAAAATATATTTTCTAAATATTTAAAAATTAGGTTAAAAACAACTTACTTAAAAGGCGCTTTCTTCCTCGCTGCCACGCTGGTTAGTAAGGAGGACTGAAACCAGCCACCAAGCTGGTCTTTCCCTTCCAAGTACAAGTCTGCTCTTTGGTCAGTACCTACAAGAAATTTTTAAAACACATCCAAACGAAAGTTCATTAAAATAGGGAAGAAAACCAGGTACATTATCAAACAGTTAAGATAATCAAAGCAACCACGTTTCTGTCACAGTCAAAATTGTCTGATTATAAGTACCGACACACTGGAGCTGGGGTGTGCTCAGTGGCAGAGGAAAGTCATTGGGCAGATGGTTTTAGTAAGATGTGCAGCTTGCTCTAACAGCACTTGGTCACACAGAACACATCCCACAGTAAGAAGCAACAGAGTGGCCAGCAGTGTTTCTCACCAAGGCCAATGACCTCTGACTGGCACTGCAAAACACCGTTTCACATGTGGCACACTCAGTTATGAAACTGACTCACACATGCCTGCAGGAAACACTTCTTCCTCTATAACCCACCATAAGCACTCCCATTTGCCTATGTATTCTACATAATTTATGAAAACAAAGTACCTAAACTTGCAATATTTTCTTCCAAATATGTTTGGAGAAATGTAATTATGAAATACTGAAAATTACTACATAAAAAAATTATTCACATTAACATATTTAGCCACTGTACACTTTAGCTGTAACAGGAATAAGCATGAATTTACATGCATTTTGACTTCCAAATTTCCTAAGTTGAAAGGTCCAATGAAGGAACCATGTATACCTACTAGAAAGGCCACTGCTATGCCCAATACAAGTCCTCAGATCCCAAATATATGCCATGGGAAACTTGCAGGGTCCCTGCGATCCCCCAGAGCCAGCTGCACAGATGTTCCCACTCTATCCTAGATCGCAGAACCCCTAGGCCACAGCTGGCCCTTGGTGGGAGCTATGGCTCCCCGACCCTCACTGGGCATCTAGGCCTCTCCTGCTCTTCACTCTAGTTGAACCCTTCACTCAGAACCCTGGGGGCCATTTCTCCTAACATATGTGAACATGCCTCCTAGTGTCGCCTCCTCCTGCTGCTCCCTTCCAGTCCCCGCCCACGGTCACCCTGTATCTAATTACAAGTATAAAATTTCTGTAGAGATGTGCAGAGTGAGAGCTGGCCAGCAAAGTGCTCACTTCTACTCTGACACCACTAAGCTGTCTGACAGCGTGTCTTGGCTCTAATTTGCTCCTGTGAAAAGCAATGGGGTCAGCTTATGTCAGTGATTTCCAAACTAGATGCCTTGGACTGCCAAGCAGGTCAAAGAGAATGAACTGGTTAAGGGGGGAACAAATTCTCCACTTCTTTCTCTGGCTTTTTTTGAGACAGACTGGCCTCAAACTCATGGCCCTCCTGTCTCAGCACCCTAAGTGCTGGGATCACAGCCATGCACCACCAGGCCTGGCTAAAAATTCCCATCCTAATCTTATCTTGCATATTATAGTTCTAAATAAAATTTTACCTTAAAAAATAACAAAAAAGTTGGGAAGTCCTCAGATTAAATGATCTTCCAGGGTTTTAAAATTATAGTAGACCATCTTCCAAATAAAGTATAAAATGAAGTTTGGGCTTGTAGATCTAAGTAATATTTCTGGGGGGTTTTTTGGTTTTTGGTTTTTTTTCGTTTTTTGGTTTTTTGGGATTTTTTTTGTCTTTTTGAGATAGGGTCTCCCTGTAGTCCCAGCTGGCTTGGAACGCCCTATGTAGACTAGGCTGGCCTCAAATTCACAGAGATCTGCCTGTTTCTGCCTCCCAAGAGCTGGGATTAAAGGCCCATGCCACCACACCCGGTAATATTTCTGTATTTTCAAAACTTTAATATTATTTATGTGTGTGTGTGCATGTGTAACGTGGCAGGAATGAGAGAGCATGCGTCATGGCTTGCTTACCACAGTGCACAGGTGTCAAAGGACATGTCTGTGGAGTTGGTTCTTTCCTTCTATGTTTGTTCAATCTGGGGATTGAACTCAAGCCACCAGGCATATGCAGCAAGCACCTTTGCCTGCTAAGCTGTCTTGCTAGTTCTTAAAACTTAACTGGCTTATAATCTATTTCTAGAAATTACCTGGAAGAACACTAGACCATGATGTTCCACTGTCAAACCAGATGTCCAAAATATCCTGCCCTGGCACATATTCCAAGGAGTCGGGACCACCAACCTAGCAAGACAATGGGGGAAGAGTTCATTTACACCAAGGCCACACCATGCACAGTAAATACTCCAAAGGTTTTAAGAGAATGAAATACAACCATTAAATTCACATTTTAAAAATAAATACACACTATCCTGATGCGTTTCAGTCTAATACCATCCTCCCCAATGGCACGGACGGTCACTGTGGTACGCAATTACATGCCAGTCACACAAAGGCTGCTAAATGCAAACACCCACATGCGCATTACCTGAGATAAGACTTCTTTTGGGAGAAGCTGCTCAGGGGGAAGAGTCCACCAGACATCACTGCCGTGCTGCTCCACTAGTTTAGCTATGTGCTCAACGGTTTCACTGTTTGGGTTTAGGGAGAAGGGGGTTATCCAATTTACTATTGTGACAAGTAACAAATATTGTGAAAAACAGAACATTATCAATTCAAAGCAACCTGATCATACACATCCCTAAAAGTAAAGAAAAAAGTCTTCTCCTAACTTCTTTACTTACTTCCCTATTTCTATCAATTCATTTTCTACCCAGGAACTTGTAATTAACCTTTGCTCTCAATTCCTGTCCAGATTAAACAACCAAACCAACATATTCTGTCAGTTCTACGTGGGAAACACGATGGCTTCCTGACACTCCATCTAACCTGATGGCCTAGAGTTCCAGTCTTGACTTCTCCCTACTCTCCTCCCTTTAATTTACACATAACACCCCAACACGGATGCACTCCTAAAACTGATTCTGTCACACAAAATTCCTTCTCACAGACTTCCGGCACTCCCTCTCTGCCTGTAGGGCTGAGTTTATCCACGGCATGAGGGGTAGTGTAGAGCACTCTGACAACAGACGGGGCGGTAGGGGTGTCACATTCCAACGCCTTCATTGCACACATGACCATGCACAAGCACTGAAACATTTCTATGTCTTGGAAAAGAGCCCAACTGATCTGTTCAAGTAGTACTCAGCACCTCCAACGTCTGGGGAATGAGTCCAGGCACTAGAGATATAGCAGCTAACGAGACAGACCTGTCAGATCAGTCACCTAATGGAACTAGCTAGTTTATTACTTTTGTAAAGCTAATGACCAAATGCACACGCTAGGCAAGAGCTCTGGCACTGAGCTATACCCCAGCACTTGTCTTTTTGAGACAAGAGTCTTGCAGTGTAGCCCAGGCTAGCCTAGAATTCATGATCCTTTTGTTTCTACCCCTCCAGTACTGGGACTGGAGGCGCTTGCTACCACACATGTTGGAGCTTACTCTCAATGATCTTACACAATTTCCTTAGAACCAGTGAAAGAAACTAAATGAGATTTTACCTGTAAGATTTAGTTCAGTGCCCCACATAGAAGACAGCATCAATAACTGCATATCATGAACACTGAAACTGCTCATGGCTTTGGAAGGTCTAGTTACAAATTATTTGAAAATTAAACTCAAGAAAAAAATTCTTGTTTTCTGATAGTAATTTCTGGCCCTACCGCTGACTAGCAATGTGACCCTGGGAAGCTGTCTTACATTTCTGCATTTCAGTTTCCTCATTTGTAAAAGACTCATCACTAAGAGATTTGTTTGAATATTAATGAAATGCCTACAGCAACGACTGGCATATTTTAACATATATTTAATATATGTGTAAGAATTCAAACTCTTTGAAGTCAAGTAAATTTAGATAGCTAATTTTATGGTAACTACCAAAACATATACTCCTATTAATATTTAAAGATTAAAATACATATACCAAAGGCAGCTTTTGAAAAACTGTCTTTTCTACCACACTGAGCAAGTGACTGCAGGTCCACAGGCTACTGGAAGTAGAATCAGGAGACAGCAGGAGATGGCACTAAGCTCTTATTCTGCACCTGCACCTACTAATCATGACTATGCAAAGCAGATCTCGCAGCTTCTCTAGCGAATCCACAAACAGCGTGTTAACCAAAACTTGCTGAGGGAAGCAAAAGTGGTGATAGAAATTACCACACTCTACAGTTTGAGAGTTGACAACTTACTGCAGATACCAAGGTGGTGTTTTATGAATGACTGAAAGCATAATACTACCAAAATGCAGTTATAAGAATTTATAAAGAACAAGAACGTAAAACAGGTACAAGTCCAGATCACTAAGACAAAGACCCACTTTGGATGGATTTCACCAGTGAAGATAAGCTTTCCTTATGAGGCCATAAAAACCTTATGCAATAAGTAACTAGTTATAAGACAATAATATTTAGTTACACATTAGTCTTCTATATAGTTTGCACAGAACATTTTATCAGTTAAGAAGTATGAATACACTCTAATAGGAAAATGTGAGTAAATTCAATGCCCCCCCCCAAAAAAAACAAAGATTAATTGGCAAAATACATTCAAATATAAATGCAATTAACTGTAGATAAGCTATTCACATCCATTATACATCTTTCATTAAAAAAAAAAAAAATGATTCGCTGGGCATGGTGGCACACACCTTTAATCCCAGCACTTGGGAGGCAGAGGCAGGTGGATCTCTGAGTTCAAGGTCAGCCTGGTCTGTATAGCAAGGTCTGTATAGCAAGTTCCAAGCCAGCTGAGGCTACAGGGAGACCCTGTCTCAAAAAGATTCAAAACGTACCATTTAAACTTGTTTTGTTTTGTTTGTTGTTTGTTTATTTTGGAGACAGAGTCTCACCCTGGCTGGCTTGGAACTAACAGGAATTCACCTGCCTCTGCCTCCCAAGTGTGTGTGTGTGTGTGTGTGTGTGTGTGTGTGTGTGTGTGTGCAGAAGCCACATTGTGAACCATCCAAAGTGGGTGCTGGAAACCAAACTCAGTTGTCTACTGAGCAACATGTGTTCTTAACTTCTCGCCACCTCCCCTGACCTCTCGTATGCTTTTTTTAATGCTACCATTAGATTGCCAATCTTAGGCAGACAATGGAAAGTTTTAAATATGTTAGGAATAAACAGATAAAAATAACACAGAAGTTAAAGTAAATTGTTCACATTTCATATTAAGGCAGAATTAATACTACCATTCATCAGAAACATTCACATATACACCATGTATCATATTTTCCAAAGCACTTTATGAGCACTTCCCAACTGAATTTACAGGATTTTTGCAAATAAGAGCTCTGGGCAGCAAGCTGCTCTGTGCCTTGAGGGTCCTTAAATCATGAGTCTAAATAAATGGTACAGCTGGAATGAGGCCTTTAAAGTGTGTCACTCAAATCCGGGTTCGCGGCTGTTTTTGCTTCTCTGTTCTCAGTGACAACCACCAAGGCTGAACTCACTCTGGAGCTGCTAAGCAATGGCAAAGGCCGAGGAAGGGCTCGGCGCCAGAGATGAAGGCAGGGGAGGAGGGAGTCTCCGGAGATTAGTGTGTTGACAGAGCAGACACCAAGTCCAAAGACCACACTCTACCTGGCTTGTTGGCTAATGGCAGGTATAAAATGTCCATAAATACTGGGAAAAGTTATAACAAGGAAGACTGTGATGATTTTTATTGAAGAAGTCTTAAAGAAAACCAAGTAGTCTTATACAGAAGGTATTCCACATAATCTCAACACCTAATTCAATTTCAGTGACTTTTCTCATCTTTAAATATCAGATAACTCAATAATACTTTATATCTTAAGTATTTAGCTGTACTAAAGTACCTTACTGAGTCTATAAATCAAAGGAAATTTCAATTTTGCTATCTTTTTGTTTGTTTTTGCTTCATTTTTTGAGACAGGATTTCATTATGTAGCCCAGGCTAGCCTGGAAGTCAGAGTTCTCCTTCCCACCGCCTCCAGAATGCTAGGATTGAAGGTGTTTGCCACCACGTCCTGAAAACTCCTCTCCTCTGAATAAAGTATATTTTAGCTGCTATATTTTTGTATAAAGATAACAATAATTCACTTACATACACAACAATGTTTTAACATAATAAAAAATACAATCTTTTATTTATTTATTTCTATTTTGTGTGTATGAGTGAGGCTGTCGGGTCCCCTGGAACTGGAGTTATAGACAGTTGTTAGCAACCATGTGGGTGCTGGGATTAGAACCCAGGTCCTCTGCAAGAGCAATCAATGCTCTTAATCACTAAGCCATCTCTTCAGCTCCCCCAATACAATCTTGCTTTATCTATTTATTTATTCTGCAATGCTATGGGCCAACCTAGAGCTTTATACATGCTAGGCAAGTGTTTACTACTGAGCTTCACTGCCAGTCACCAAAGCCTCAGTCATCAATCTCCTTCTCCACTTCGTTCCTGAGATGGAGTGTTACATAGCTCAGGCTAGTCTTCCCATCATGCTGCCTCAGTTTCCCAAGTGCTGAGTAATTTTACATTTTCTACATATTCCATCTGAAGATAATATAATGTTTTTTGGGGATTTTTGATACTTGTAAAGTCTCACATTTAAGTGGAGAAAAGTTTACTTGTTTTTTTTCTTTTAATCTAACTAGTACTATTTTTTTATAAATGATGCAAATACAAATATCATCTACATCAATGAAAATCAATCTTACAGAAATTTTTAAAAATCCATCTCATACAGGTCAGGGTGGTGTGCATCTGTCACCTCAGCAACTCAAGAGGCTGAGGGACGAGGACTGAGTTCGAGCCTGACCTGTACAACAAGACTGGGAGGCAACCAAAGCAAACCAGTTCAAACTGGGAGTGAGCTCAGGGTAGAGCACTGGCCTAGCATGCGCAGGGCCTTGGCTTCATCCCTAGGTTGCAGAGAGACAGATAAATAAGTTATCAATTTCAAAAGTGCTGTAGCACATTCCACGCTAGATTTCGCTAATGCTGAGATGGATTACGTGGCCACCAACAATCCCCATTCTGCAGAATGTTTAGCTGCTATTAACCAAGTGGCATCTTATATGCTACATGTCAACAATGTGTATTTATCCCTGGCCTATGGGTTCAATGATGACTCAGGAATGCCTTCTTTTGCCTTGTTCTTTGAAGACCAAGTTGACACAAAGAGGGAAAGAGCACATCATTTCCTAAGATACCTAAGGAGACACGAGGGCAGGCTCTGTCTTGCAGTTTATATATAAGAAGCCTAATATGAGTGAACTGTCCATTCCTGTAAAAGTCCTAGAAGAGGCTCGGGGGATGGAAAGAAACTTAACTGAGATCCTGGTCAAACTAAAGGCCGTGGCTTCTGGTGATTGTGAAATGGACCTCTTAAACTTTTTAGCAGAATTCTTCCATAAACATCAAAGGAATGGAGATTATCTGTCCTGTCAACTTTCTTATCAGGAAATGGTAGAGAAGCAGTAGAAAGCCCAGACTGAAGCCCTTCTACCTCATCAGGTGCAAAGATTTAACCAAGGAGGATAAAGCAACAAGTCTTCCTATTGTTGTGGG